ATATATACATATTAAGTAGAGCCCTTCACTTCATCCTACTCGACACATCTCCATAATCGGGTATATGACAAGCACCTTAAAATGTATTAGAAATCCATTTTCTTTCATCATTTGAGAATTGAATGATAAATTCTAATTAGCTATTTCAATTAATATTCTTAAATTTAATTTGGTTGTTAATCAAACGGGACCGACCTCACGAGTCGACATGGAGTCAGGACCGACCTGAATGGGTTTTTGGATCGTTTAACACAGGACACAGTCAACACCTACTCGAACCAGACTTACCTAGTCGGGTCAATCCGATTTGACACGATAATATTATCTTTTTTTTTTTTATAAATAAATTTTTATAACGGGATATGATATTATTAAGATTTTGCGGTACAAAATTTACATGTAAATTAATTTTTTATTGATATTATTGGAAAAAAATACCATATATAATTTCTAAATTATTAAATTTATTTATTAGGTTCTGCAATTGACCCAGAGGGGGGGTGTAAACGACTTGAACCAAGCTTGGGCTTAGCTAATAATATAGTTCGAGTTCGACTCGTTTATTAATATAACGAGACAAGATGGAACCTTAACGAGCGAAAATAGTTTTTAACAAGCCGAAAGGTAGAAAACTGTATAGAAAAACATATTTTCTAGCCTTAACAAGTTCGTTAAGTGGATGAGATTTAAATGAACTTGATAAACGAGCCCAGTTGGTACGAGCAAAGCTCACGAGCGACTCGTTTCATTTAACAGCTCTACGTGGAGGCTAACCCGGCTACCAATGTCACTTCCAGGATTGGGTATGAGAACATTGTTTAATCATAGAAATTGTTATTTTTTCTAGTTGGGTAAATATTTAAATAATTCAGATAATTAGATGTTAGATCCAATTTTACAAGAAATATTATGTAATAATTAATACAAAGGAAAATTATAGTTGACAATTTCACATCCAAAAGCTGCATAAAATATATTGAAACTCAATTCACAAAAAACAGAGAAAAAGGAATCCGAGAAAAAAGAATGGTGGCGATATCACTGTACAAAGGGAACTTCCACAAAGCGTCCGATGTACCCCGCCGATGGCCGCCACCGACCCCAAAGATTTCGCTCAAAGACTTCAAGATTCTCCTCCACCGTCGCGACATGGCTCTCGCCCGCCTCCGCTCCTCCTCCGCCGAGGCCGATATCAATGTCGCGACGACTTCAGGCCCTAGCACCGGCCGTAGCCCTGGCCCCGAACCCAATCGTGCTAATACCGATTCAATTCATGGGGATAACGCCGTGAATAAAATCGATGGCGAGAATCATGAGGGCAATCACTGTTCTGAACCTGAATTGCTGCCTAAGGGGAATTTAAAGGAGGAGGTGATGATAGATGAGACAGAAGACTCATTGAAGAAATTGATAGAGGAAAGTGATGCTATGGTGGAGGAGCAGAAGAATGAGGAGAATACCAAGGATGATGGCAAATCGGAGGCTATTGTGAAACCGGATGGCGAGGTATTTTGCTGATCAAGATATGATTTTTGACCTGTGTTATTATGTTCTTTGTTGATTTTTTTTCTTTGGATTTGGTGATTATACTCTTGGAATATGTTTTTGCTGATGAGATGATTATGATTGTTCTGTATTAAGTTGCCATCTTTGGGGATTCTTGGTGGGATTGTTGCTCTGAGTGTTTCTTGGATGGTATGTGAAGATGGGTTTTTATGTGAATTAGGTTCCATGTGTATAATGTTTCTATGTAAATTCATCATTTTTTCGTGCTTGTAGTTACAATATGTTTTGTTGCAATTGAATACCAAGAATGTTAGATTCAATGGAGTTTAATCAATCTGTCTAACATGAAGAATTACGTGGTTAATTAACATACATCTTAGAATGAAACGATTTGGAAACAATGTAAATGAAACTGAGATGCTGTTGTGGTGGCTACTTTTCCTCATATCTTATAGCACCATTGAAGGCGGCCGCTGGCGGGAAGCATAAATGCAATCATTTTGTCGACTTTGACGTATTTTCTATTCCTTCCTCTGCTCCAATTTTTATGCATGTCTTACTTTTTATTCGTAGAAAAGCAATTTGGAAAACGGTATAAGTGATGCAGAGAAAAGAACAAAGGAGGTCAAAGAGAAGTTGGAAATTTTGAATGAGAAAAAGCATAGCTTGGTGAAAGTGCTGAAACAGGTAAATATATAAATTCTATCTCTTTATTAAAAATGAAGTGGCCGATGCTGCTTTGACATGTGTTCCAAAAATGATAACCTTGATCATTGCTTATAGTCATATCAATGTGGTATACTTCTGTTTGCAGATTTTGAATGCAGAGGAGCAGTTAAAGCGGCAAAATTGCACCCAAGGAATTTCTGGTCTTCCACCATCGCAGGTAGACACTAGCACCGATTCTGGGTCAATGACTAAGGTCAACACCCCTAAAATTGGCCCGGATGGAATTCCTTGTGGTAATGTGGAGGGAGGAGAACCTGATGATGTTTCGAACCATAATGCGACTTCTCGCCACTTACCTCGCACGAGCAGTACTTCTCCGTCTTCTGGTTCTCAACAGCGGAAGCCAAACTCTACCATGGTAAAAATAAATTTATTCAGTTCTTAAGATTTTTTATTCTGTTGTTGCTAAAGATATATGAACAGATTCCTTTTATAGTCATGGTTTCGTATTTACTGATTATATGGTGCTCATTGAAGTAACTATGGTCCGTAAATTTCTTTTTGTTTGGCAATCAGCGGTTAACTTTTAGCAGATTATATCAACTGTTATGACTAACGGATTAGCTTTTTTGACCGGCGGATTACTTTAGCGGATTGTGCTAAAGCGTTCAGTGTGTATTTAGCCGATTGGTGGTAATAAGTTGGATAAAATAACTAATGTGAATAAATATGGAATTCCTCAAATAATAATAATAATAATAATAATAATAATAATAATAATAATAATAATAATAATAATAATAATAATAATAATAGTAAACTTAATATTATGTAATTTATAAATTACTAATAAGACTATTTATAAATTTTAATATTTTTTTATTAATTTGAAAATTATAATTCACATATTTTGTAATTTTGAGAAAATTTAATAATAACGTAACACAAATTTTATTTTTTTATGCTCAAAACTTTTTGATTGACAACCAAAGGTTTAATAAAACAAAAGGTAATAATTATCTTGTAGAACAATAAGTCATTTTTATCTTGTTTAATTTCTTAATACTAAAAGTAAAAATAAGTACTCAGTTACTTGACCTTTTAAACGACTATTAAGTAACAAAATTAACCAATTAATCCTAAGCATATCCGCCAACCAAAAACGCTCCACTATGCAGCTTTTTCATTTTCAGCGTTTTGTCTCAATCCGCTGATATAAAAAGCTGCTCAACCAAACACATTTTTTTGGCGTTTTGATTTAGTCAAAATCGCTATCCTAGCGTTTTGGGCAAAACGCTGGACACCAAACGCCCCCGTAAGCTTTTAGAAAAGTATATTGGATCGTGATATAATGATAATCGCTTGTGTTAAAACGGTGGGTAGACTTTTTTCACATCTTTGTTCAAAGCTGTTTTGGTATTCTTTGAGTTTCTAGATTTTTGTTGTAGGAAAGTTAAGACTATGCCCTCTTTGAGAGTTGAGTTTTATATTTTGTGTGTTAACAAATGGATCACTAGTATGTGGTAACTTAGTGGGGGTTATTGATTTGCCATAATTCAAATTACTCTTCCATTTTCGCATGTGGATTGTCAATTGGAAACTCAAAACATTTTGTTCTGGTTCACGTATATTATATGGCTTAACCGCTACACGCCCTCTTCACACACGTATGCAAGGGCCAGTGCTTGCCCTGAAAGACTGGGTTTTCTAATCATCCATGTATAAAATTCATCTTAATAAAATCATTGTTGTTGGAATATTAATAGATATAGATAATTAGGTATATTGTAAACTGTATTTACACTTATTGTTTCAACCTTGACCATTAACAGATATACCCGTTTGACTATGAAGAACTGAAGATAGAAATAAAGCACCATCTATAGAAAACGCCTCATCCGCATCCAATTCTCCTCCTTAAGGCTATGTTTGGTAAACCTAGCTTATAGCTTTAAGTGAATTTCGAGCTTATAGCTGATAACTTATGACTTATGGCTAAAAAACTAGCTCATATGGTAAAATATTTGGTAAAATTAGTTGATAAGTTAGCTGAAATTTCAGTGGGCTTATTTGAAAAGCTACCTAAAAAAGCTTATGACCTTTCTAAAAAAACTTGTCCTACCAAACCTTTGAATACAACTAATCAAATAAGCTAGCTTATAGGCTTACCAAACACAACGAAGATTTCAAAATTTAACTTATTTTCTATCAGATAATTTGACTATGTTTTAACAATATAAAGGATATTGTCAAGTCCCCCTGCCTCAGTCATTACGTATATTCTCGACCCAAGTGTATAAGATGGAGTGAGAAAGATAAAAGTTACCGGTGATTGAGAAAAACTACCGATTACTTGGTCTGGTTCTGTTTCAATACCTACAAGTCAATCCATGAATCCCAGGATAAATTAGAACTTACGTTAATTGGCTATTTTAGGCCGCGCACATTCTGAGTTGGGGAGAGCCTTTCTAATAACTATTTAAGTTACGATGGTCATATAGTGAAACTTTTGTGATGGCTTACCTGGGGACAACATACGATATTTTGATCTGAAGGTTTGAATTTTGCTTTAATTGCTTCCCGGTGAGTATAGGGAAAACTATGGCCATGTGGTTTACCTTGTTGAAACCCTATGATGTTGGATTCAATACATATGTGCATCTATTCGATTTCAGGCACCTCTTTCTTACCGGGCCACTATGGGCGTTGCCAGTAGCCCTTCACGATTTGCACCCACTGGTCAAGGTCAAAGTCAAGGTCAAGGTCAAGTACAATCTGCTCTTTCTGTCTCGGCCACTAGTTATGTGGTGTCATCTCCTTCTCCAGCTGCATCAGGTGGTACCTCTATCTTTAGAGACGCCAGGCTCCCGAGCCCATGGAATTAGAAAAACCTCAAACTATCTACTGCATGTTTTATCTATCTGAACAACACGAAATATGCCCTTCAAAAGTTTGCGTGCAATCAATCAATTTTATGGAAATATTATATATATTTCGTCATTCGACCGGTCGTATCCATGTTAATGTATCAAGTATCAACTAGGTTGATGTTATTGTATAAATAATCTGTTTGTAACTTATACTTCTAACCTTGCTGTTGGCTTTCCAAGTACTTTCTCTAGGTTTGCACAATAACAATGTTATAATTAGAATTGGCTAATGTTTTATTTCCTTATTCTAGTTTATTATTATATTATGATGCTTGTGGTGGTTGAGGCCTTTAATTAGTTTAAATTAACCAAATAGAGATTGATATAAAAAAATGGAGCAGACATCCCATGTTCTGAGCCAATGGGAGGTGACTGTGAGACATTTTTATTACAATTATTATTTTTCTTATTTTGTTCATTCAGGACAAAATAGTCCCTTATTTATATATTGTGTAGGGACCCATACTCATTATTTTTTTGCAAAGAACAATACCATCCAATACTTGTTTGGATTGTTGATAAATGGTTTTCATTATAACTTCCCTTTCCTGTACCTGTGTTTCAAAATAATAATGACTTTGCTTGTTTAGTGTTCGTTTGTATTTATTGCAGGTTACGTGTCAATACACCATTTATTAATAACTATAGATTGCTCTATAAGTCGAATCATTCGATGGCTCTATAGCAAAACTGTAGGAACACGTTTTAATGTACATTAAATATAGTCATGAACATTTTACTTTATAAAACTGGAGGAACACGTGTTCGTTTCAGTTGTACTACTGTGTGTCCTGGCACATCTTGTTCATTTTAAAAATGCCTTGGCACACCTTGCTAGGTGTTCCAAGGCGCACCTAATTATTTGCGATAAATGTTAACATCTACAAGGCTTTTTACGTGCAGAAATTCATGTGGCAAAAAATTATCCAAATAGGATTGTGTTGTCAAAATCATTTAATTTTTAGGAAATGGGGTCACATACACAAAAATATGGGAATAGGACAACAGAATTGTCAAATCAATTTAGTTTTCACGACATTTACATTTAATTTAAGAATAAGTTGTCATGCCAGATTTTTAGAGCCAAAAATTAATTGTGACAACAGGATATTCATTCATTCTTCGTAAGTTATTTACTGTTCGGTTATAGTAAAATCTATTTGAGAAAATTGATAAAAATTGCAGTAAATTTTGATTGAAATTTAATAGACTTTTGGATCCGGATTAATGGAGCGGTTAAATCTGATAATGTTTTTTTTTTCAATGAATAAATATGTAAATAAATAAATATATTTTGTTTTTAAATAAAAAAAAGTTATTTATATATTTATGTGGTAAATACTTACGATGAAAAAATTAATAAAAAAATAGGATTATAAAGTACAAAATATTATATTAAATGGAATATATATTTAACATTGGAAAATAATAATAAGTATTTTTTTAATTGAATCCATGACTTTGTTTTAACGTGCTTTAATCAGAAATAATTTATAGTAGTAATATTTTTTACCGTTAGAACAGTATTAATAAAAAAATATTTGAATAATACCATGATATAAGAGGTTTGGTGATAATCTAGGAGACAATAAAATGTCCCATAATATTAAATTACTGAACCAAACTTTTAATAATAATAATAATCACATCTCAATTAATTAATTAATTAATTAATTAAACGGCGCTAACAATGATGATGACGTAGATTAATTAAGATTTTCTTAGGCTTAATTGGTACAACCTGTAACAGAAGAAATAGTTTGTTGATTTATCATGCTTCCAGAATATACCAAATCTAAACACTTTTTATCTGAAATCTTTTAGTAATTATTTAACACAAATTTTTGTGTAGAGCTGCGTAGACGTTAAGTGGATCGATCAATTATATACTATAATTTTTTTAAAAATAAATGTATAATTATGTCATGAAATGTCGTAATTTTATTTATTTTGTTTAATAAAATATTTACATATCTTGAAAATGTGACGTAAGTATAACTATTAGGCATCACTTAGAGAGACTAATATTAATATTTCCAAATATTTGAAATAAAATAATAAAATGTTGCAAGGCCCACAACGTGCAACTTAGTAATAGCCTATTCTGCTCTGAATTGTCTCCACGATTGGTAGTAAAAATTCCCATAATATTAAATTATTTAAGGTTCAGTATAAAAAAAAAAATATAATCTTGGAGTTTGGTTTAGTTACAAAAGTAAAAATCACTCATTTTCTATTTACTAATTATTTTGAAATAGTTACCTCTCCCAATGTCTTTTAATTCTTTTGAGGATATACTTTGGTTATTATATTATTTTTATTTTTATTTTTTTTTTTTAAATTCAAAACACAACCGGTTGGTATCTTATAAATCTAGGTGCTTAATGTTTTTGGTTTAAAGATAAGAATTATGTGAAATTAGTCCAACCACTTATAAAATCTTGGATGCATTATACAATTATTAAACGAGAAATACTATGATCCCTTTACAAAATCATCTCGTAGGGTTTTAACCGTTAGATCATCTATTTTATACTAACTACATGTGTATCTGATAGTTAAAACTCTCGAAGGGATGATTTCGTAACGGAACCGTAGCATTTTTATTAAACATCAATCTT